AAATAAAAAAATAAATAATTAATAGTCAATACACATTATATATATCTATCTACATAAATGATTTATTTTTTTTTTTTTAGGTTTTATTTGAACGTAATAAATTGACAGTGCGTACCAAAAAAGTTATTGATACTATGCTTTCTAATGCTGTTAAAGATGCACTCATCCCTGACATAGAATTTTGGTCATCATCAAAAACTCTGATTACATTAGCTGAAGGAGACTATTTTAAAGATAATGATAATGTAGTATATCCAGAAAAATTAAAAACATTTTTGGGCAGTGGTAAATATTATTTAAAATGTATAGTATTAAAAAAAAGTGTATATATAATATATATACTGGACAAAATATCACTTTGTTTAGAGGATCCCATACCAGCATGTATTTTTTCTATATTGTAAATATCACATTACCAATTTGCGTTTAACAGTTACTATTTTATGTAAGTCAGCTTTTATAGAGTGAATTAACTTCTTATTAAATTAAAAAATTAAGAACATTATCTGTGTTTTCTCTTGGCTTTTTATAATACTTTCATTTTTAAAAAAGTTATAAGCATACAAAATATTATAATATTAAAAATAAGTTGACAATAGCTCAATGTATTTTAACATAAAATCGTATTACAAAAAATTGGAACTATTAAACATAAATTTATTATTTTATATTTGTAAATTAAACAATACATGCAAGTATAACTAAGTTTAATAATAATAATAGATTATCTATTTAAATTTTTATATATTTCAGACTCTGATTTACAATTAAATGCTAATGACGAATGTGAGTTTGGTATTCGTAGTTTGGGTGCTGTAATATGGTATTTAAAGCGATGTAAAATGGACTTCCAACTTTTGTCCAGAGGAAGATTTGATATATATAAACCAGTAGATGTTGAATCAGTTGAATTATCCAATCAAGATAATATTAACAGCAAACATATGGTAATTAAAATTTAAGTTAATAATATTGATTACTTATTCTATTATCTATGTATAGCTTCTTAACTATTATTATTTCATATTCATTTTGAAATTATTAAATTAATGAAAACTATTACAAATTATATTATTATTTTTTTGTATATTTTGTTTGGATAATAAATAAATACTTAGTTTAATTTTGAAGTACCTAGTTAGGTTTAATAATTTTATTTATTATTAAATTTGACTGTTTGTTTTTTAGATACTCGATGCTATAACACTTAAAAATCTGCATATATTAGAAAACTCTGCAGGCTCAAGTACAGGAACATTACTGAACAAGTTAAATCATTGCTCTACACCATTTGGTAAACGGTATGTTTAACCATATTTTTATTTTTTTGCATTAAACATGAAATTCAACATTAAAAATTATAATTAATACTCTGCGATAATATTTACTAGATTACTACACCAATGGTTGTGTAATCCATTGACAACAATTTCCAGTATTGAAGCTAGACAAAATGCAATTTCTTCTTTAATTGTTATTCCTGATTTAATGCATGAAATACGATCAGAATTGGCCAGTTTACCAGATTTAGAACGTCTATTTTCTAGGTAAATTAAACAAAACACATATTTTATGGCATACTTATTTATTATTATTTTTAGGATTTATTCTCAGAGTAGCAATGGAGTTGAATCCGACCATGCTGAAACTAGAGCAATATACTTTGAAGAGAAGACTTATTCAAAAAGGAAAATAATTGATTTCATATCAATTTTAAAAGGTTTTAGAACAAGTGTTCATATAATGGAAAAATTTCAAAGTAATATTAACTAACTAAAATTTATGCTCAATAATTAATTTATGAAACTCATTTTTATAGAAGCTAATATCAAAAAAGAAAGCTCAGAATCCAATTTATTGACTGCTATTTGTAATTATCGTAACAGTTCTACACCAGGATTATTTCCTTATTTGACTGAACTTCTTGATAATTTTGAGGTAACTTAAATAATTTCATAATTAATAACTGTGTTATTTAATAAAAATGCATTCAATATTAATAAGTTACTAAATATTTCTCAAAAAAAGTTTATTTTTATTATTTGTGTGTATTCATTATAATTCTACTTTTTCTATAGAATTCTTTTGATCACGATGAAGCTATGAAACATGGTCGTATTTTTCCTGAACCAGGAATGGATGATCAATATGACAGAGTTTTGGAAAAAATAAAAGAAGTTGATATTGAGTTAAAATCTTATTTAAAAGAACAGTGCAAACATTTTGGGTGTAATGTAAATAATGTGTTACTATTTTAAATTCAATTAAGTGTTTTAATTTTTCTACTAAATTCTGAAGGTTACATATTTCGGATCTGATAAAAAAAGATATCAGTTAGAAGTACCTGATGCTGCATCAAAAAAAGCTGGGGAAGGATATGAACTCCAAAACCAAAAAAAAGGATTCAAAAGATTTACAACTAGTCGTACAAAAGTTTGTAATTTTAAATTTTTTTTATATGTGATATTAAGTATATTTATTATCCAGGAACTTTTGGAAAAAATGATGAGTTATGAACAAGAAAAAATAGATGTATTAAAAGATCTCAGGGAAAGAGTGTTTTCGCGGTTTTGTGACAAGTTTGATGAATGGAATAATGCCATCCAATGTTTAGCTACACTAGATGTATTCATGTCATTAGCAGAATACTGCCGGTGTGAAGAAGAAGTGATGTGTATTCCTAAATTTATTCCAGCTATTGTTGGTAAAAAGGTCAGTATAAAAAAATTAAATCTGTATTGAAAATTTCAATATTTTTTTTCATTATTATGCTCTAAATCTAAAGTTTTGATAATTTTGAGCGAGTTCAATTAATATATATCTCAAAACAATTTTTTTAAATTAAGTTACACTATTTGGCTGTTTGATTTATGTATAAAAATGATTATTGTATACAATTCTAAAATTGTGATTGTGTGACTACTGTATATTTGATATTTAGCCATTAGTTGAACTCACTGAGGGACGTTATCCATGCGGTTCAGGTGGTGAGAATTTCATTCCTAATGATACAATCATTGGAAAAGAAGAAGATGAAACATGGAAATCTAGTTTGATATTGGTTACGGGTCCTAACATGGGAGGCAAGTCTACATTGATGAGACAGCTTGGTATTATCTCTGTTATGGCACATATGGTAAGAAGCACTTATATGGTTTAATTAATAATTCTAATGATTTTTGTCCATTATTTTTTAACATATTTAGTAAAAATGAATTGTAGTATAAAATTCAATTTCAAATAGATATTAATATTAATTCTAATAATCAACAATTTGTGATGTGTTGTGTATAATAAGTAGAGGTCATATTTATATTCTCTTAATCCTTAAAATATGATGTTTTTATGTTGTTTAAAAATGCAAAATATTCTTTCAATATTAAAAAAAAATACATATATTTAGTTGAAATTTATTATTTATTAACTTGTATTATTAATTAATTAATTAGTTATATAATATCAACACACACCAGTACAGATGACTGAATATTTGTAAATAACCAGTGTGCTATTGCCATTAATAAAAAATATCTGATGATAATTTATATTAGAAGTTAGAACTTAAAAATAAATCGTATAGTAAATATTGTATACATATATCAAAATGCCGATATACGTGAAATATTCTCTAACCCCTAAATTATGTTTTTTTTTTACAAAATTAATTTTTCTTACATATTTTATATCTTATGAATCGCAAAGCTATCTCACTCCCATTTAACTGCATACATCAGAAACAAATATTTAAAATCATAAAAATCCGACCTTAAATAATTAGTTATAAATAGTATAGATAGTTCTTAATAACAATTTGCTTTAAATGTCTAGTATGTTTGTTTTAATTATTGATTGTTCTTGATTAACAACTTATAAAGTATTATATTATTAGAAAATTAATCTGGAATAAACTAAAATTTTCAACTCATTGTATTACGTCTTAACTGATATCCGATTGAGTGTTAAATATTAATAATTTAAACAAAATTTATTTAATTTGTTTTTACTAAAATAATAGTTATATTATTTAATAGGGTTGTCATGTACCTGCAAAAAGTCTTGTTCTCAATCCCATAGACAGAATATTCACAAGGATCGGCGCCAATGACAATATAATAGCAGGAGAGTCTACATTCTTTGTTGAATTGTGTGAGACATCGGCTATACTTCATCATGCTAGTCGATTTTCATTAGTCTTGGTTGATGAGCTGGGTTAGTTATTTATATCAAATAGTTATGGATTATAATTAAATTGTATCAAATAATTTTGTTACATTTAAATTTCATTTTTTATCTTGTTATTGCTATAAACAAATATATTTTTGTTATTTAGGCAGGGGAACATCAACATACGATGGGACTGCAATTGCCTCAGCTGTTGTCGCAGAACTAGTAAAAAAACAATGCCGTACACTATTCTCTACCCATTACCACTCGTTGGTCGAAGATTTCAAGGCTAATCCTTTAGTTGCACTCGGTCATATGGTATAAATTCTTATTAATATTAATATTATTTATAAATTATACATGTATAAAAATAAATACCTAATTAATAGTTGATTTCTCATTTCAGGCATGCATGGTAGAAAATGACGAAACAAATGAAATGGATGCTGAACAAACTCAAGAAACAATTACTTTCTTATATAAGTTTGCAAATGGTGCTTGCCCTAAATCATATGGTTTTAACGCTGCTCGTTTGGCTGGCATGCCTGCTGACATCATAAAAACTGGTTTACGTAGATCTAAAGAATTTGAAACTGCAGCCAAGCGCCGAATACTATTTAAAACATTGTTTTCATCTAATGATATATCAGTTGTGAAAACAGCTGTTTTAGCACTATAATTTACATATTAAGTTCCTCAAACTATATAAGTACTTCCAAACCGCATTGTTATTAAGATTTATTTCTTTTTATGTTTAAGTATTCATATTTTTTTTTATTTAATTCCATTTATTATACAATACTGAACAATATTATTTTTTATTACAAAAAAAAAAAAGTACAAAATATTTAATAAATAATAAGGCTTTGTTCCTATGTTTTGATTGTGTATTATAATGTATTTATAGAATGTAAGTTTAATGATCTTGTCTGTTGGGACCAGGACATCCTTCCATTAAATCAGTCTCATCGTCATATACTGTTCCACAGTAAACACAATAATTGTAAGTATGCCTTAAATAAAAATTTAAAATTTTCAGTTGTTCATTAATTGGTATAACATCTTCTTCATCTTCTTCTTGCTTTGGTTCATTAGTATTGACTTCAGAGACTTCCTCGGGCCAGAAGAACTTTTCAGATGGTTCTTGTATATCCTTAAATGTAAAATATTTTGATTTATTAAAATTTGGAAAATTTAAAAAATTATATAATTATATATTTTAAATTGTTATTAAGATTTTATAAAGATAAAATAAAATAATGATTAAGTATATGAAAAAAAATACATACCTAACTAAAAAATGTTTAATACATATTTTCTAAATAAAAATATGAATTATAAAAGTTAAATATACTATGTGCATGTACAGTCTTTCAAGAATTAGTAAATTAATATTTTTTGATTTAAAAAATTATTTTGAATATAAATTATATTCAATTCATATGAAATAAACAATTTATCAAAGCAGAAATTTGAGATATGTGTAAGCTTAATAATTATTATGACTCTAGCATGTCATACCTGTTCTAAATCCATTTGGCGACATACTCGTTGACATCTAAGTAAGTCCAAACGGTCTAACTTTTCAGCAGCTTCTTGAGCCCTTCTTTCTCTATATTCGCCTATACTGGGTTCAGCTGACCGTCTACTACGTATTATTGATTTTTTCATTTCTCTAATTGTTTTTAATGCAGCTTCTCGACCCAATCCTTTGCGGTCAGTTTTTAACACAATACCAATAGGTTCTACTATTCCACAGTCTACCGTAATACAACAAATGTAAATTGAAATAGCAAATGGTTTCTCATAATCTCAGCAGAAACACTTACTGTTTTTTCCAATTCCCAATCCAGGTTTGTAACCCATTTTCTGTAACAGTGAAAAACCTTTGTTGGTACTATCAATGGCCTTCTCTAGCCCCTCTTGACGCTGCTGTTCTTCCAGTGCCTTTGCACCAGTAACCTTGTTTATCAATTGGCATTCCTTTTTCTTTTTCATCTGGTTGTGAAGTCGTTGCTGTTCATGTGTCAGCAATAGGCCGGGTCGGACATCTTTTACAGACCTATCCACACAAAGGGTTACTGTTGGTAAAACAATTATTTTAACATGAAAACTCATATAAAATATGTAAGACAATGGTTTAATAGGCCCCAGATACTAATAATAATGGATGGAAAAGCAAGTAGCTTGAAGTTTAAAAAGTGGAACAATTCGGTTAAGTGTTTTTTTACTAAGTCTAGATACTAAATTTAATTCATGAGGTAGAGTAACATGAAAGATACTCTTTTACATCAAAATATGAGATAATTTGAATCCAATTTAACAACAGTAGATATTTGAGATTAATTAATACAAGTAATGTTCTCACAATATTTTATAATTTATGTAATGTTTACAATAATATCATTCATATTTTCATGTCAACTTTTAATTTTTAGAATCGGATCGAAATAAATATCAAACCTGTTCACACAAAACCACATAATGAACGATAATTTGCAAATTCAAAGTTTGTGTTTTTTCCAGTATTGTTATATTAATCACGAATCTATCATACAATAATTGAGATAGCATTTAACAGTCAAAATGAATTAAAACTTTCAATGTACGTTAACAAGGTATACATTCTTGTTATAATAGTGTAAAGATTATCAAAGCATGTAGCAACTATAGCAATAGGTACCAACTCAGTGTTGAGGAAAGCGTCGGACATGTAATCATCAACTTCTTCGTTGTCTGTGGTGGCCATATCCACTGTTTTGATATCTGTATTCACAACTTGCACTCCTACTACCGGTACACTATTAAACTAAACGGAAATCATCTCTTTAGTATTCAGACCTTTAACATTTACTAGTTAAAGTATACTTTTTTTTTAATTGACAATACAACGACCGTCGGTTAGATAAACGAATTACTCACCAATTACCGTTCATCAAAATTCAAAAACAATTTCTTCAATTAAAAACAAAAAAGAAATTACAATAATTATTATTTATTATTGAATAATATCTTAATTTTTCAAACGTTTTTTTTATTATAGTTATAAAACGTATCAATACACAATATGAGTTGATAATCACAACAAAACGTATAAGCAGTTAAATGTGATTGTGCTTATCGTCTAAAATCCTCACCGGGGGAAGAATTTACTCACAGCTGTTATCATCTATGCGCGTCTCACTTGTAAATGTGTTATCTCTAAGTCTACAAAGTGTAATGGAAAGATATGACAAATGAAATAACTTGTATTCTAATCAATATTTTTTCATTTTTTTTTTTTCATATAATTTATAGACGTTTGTACTACACGTATAATATAAACTTTTTTATTTATTTTTTTTTTTGTACAGAAATTAAAAAATTTTAAATTTGATCTAAATTTTTTTGAAAAAAATCAAAATAGCCAATTTATAAACATAATGAAAAAAATAGTCTTTGCGTTTACAAAATTTAATTTGAGTAATCCGTTTGCGACTTATGAACGTTTAAACTTTAAATAATCGTTTAACTGTTACTGTGAATTTAATCCAAACCGTAAGTAAAAACCAGTAGTCGAGATGACATTTTTATCTAAAGATAATGATTATCCATATTATTACTTTATGCGAATACTGATAAAATATTATGAACAATTTATACAAAAATATATATATATATAACTCCAGGAGAAGTTGACATTCTGCTGGGTGCCGATATCTTGCCTTCACTGTTGCTCGACAGAAAAATTTCTGGAGAGTGTGGCGAACCTATGGCTATTGAAACATTGTTTGGTTGGATCCTATTGGGACCTGTCCATTTCCATGATCAAACCAATCCAATCACCTTATGCTTATGTACCTCTGAACAGATTTTTCAGGCTGTCTATAAGTAACATACTATATGAGTTGATTTCGATGAAAATTATTTATTTTTTTTAATTATTGTACTCAACAAACAACAACAATTATTGCATTCCCGTTTTACACAGACTTATAATAGGTGCCTTCCGTCTTGACTTTTGAATACATATATAAGTATAACTGCTTGTCACTTGAATCACTATAAATATATTTTAATAGTTATTATACCTAATTATTATAGGTTACACGTTCATAAGACTGACGAAACACCTATATTTATATTATGTTCATATTACCAGTTAGTACCTACTATATTAGATACAAAATTGTTATGATATGAGAACTTTCCCGGTCATCATAAAACCTGATAAAATGTCATAATATGACCGATTTATACACGTTTATACGGAACCAATTCGTATATTTTATTAGGTCCGACTTAACCCGACGGAAACCAATTCCGTATTACCTACCTAATTTTATGAAGCCAACTCGCCACCAGCCTTCCTAGTGCCTACCCATACGAATATATATTATCTTGATCACGCCTACATTTATTTTAATGTAAATCCAAGAACATCGCATTTGTAATACCTGTATGTACCTATATTAATATTGTAGAATGAAATAGTGGTTGTCTCGAAAAAACAATTAATTACATTAGAAATTAATTAAATACATTTTGATAAATATCTAAATATTATTTTTATTTTACACACCTTCTACACGAAAGGTACTTAAGTCTTAATAGAAATTATATTTATTAAATTAAGTAATGATTGCGATCGAACAACGAAATCATCGACAGCCGACGGGTAATTTGGATAATCATCAGCCGTCCTATGCACTTTATATAGATACCTGCCCACAATAGGCATGGTCGTTTGGATGAGAATTATTTTTATTATTATCATTGTTGAGTATTATTATTCTTGTTAGTTGCTTGTTAAATCTCCGGCGGCGGGCAATAGACACGACGGTAATTCTTTATTATAAATTTATTGTTTTATTTGATATAGCTATGCGGTGACCGCGGTGACTCAATAGTTTTAAGTCTGTCAAAATATTCTCCCACGACACTTTACCACACATAATACGAAAGCCGAAGAGAAGTTATTAAACATGGTTTATTAATATTACGCTACAATATTTAAAAAACTACGTATCACTATGTAGGTATCATAGGTATAAAATGCACGCGCATCACCCCTGGCCAATGGTAGTTGTATTAAGGATCCATCTCGATCGACGAATCGATATTACGATAACGTAATATAATTTAAGTAATAAATCGATGTGACGGTGTGGGCTCCACACGAAGCCTAAAACGATCGTCTCGAAAGCGATAAATATGTTTATTTATACATTATATATACGTCATTATCATCGAGACTTACCAAACTATACATCATGAAATCGTGGAGAAGGGATTTTACATATTATGGCAAATTCCAAAATGATTGCATAATATTAGGTAATTTTATTATTTGTAAGTTGTAACCGGTTCAAACGTCAGTGAAACTATTATGGATGTGAGTATGTGTGGTAAAGTATTAATGTCATTTTTTTGTCGATTCAAATTAAAAATATTATCTACATCTGCTAATATGATAATCATTATTATTAATTATATTAATAAAATGTAAGTATTGTAAGACTCAAATACCATATCAAAAAAAAAAAATAATAATAATAATAATAATAATAATAATACGTTAATAATGAATGTATATAGTATATATGTAGTAATATTAATAATACATAGCATATTATGTGGTATTATAAAATCAATATAAATTCAAATAACCAAGCACCTATAGCTATATTTAAAAAAAAATGTAATAAATTATTTTATTTTGGCTTGTAATATTTGTATGATGAATTAAATAATTTGTAAGAATTCAGTGAATGTTAGAATATTTGGAATGGACGTATTTAATGCAAACGACTTGACAATAAACTTGTATTATTCGTTTATAAATAATTGGGCCCTGATAAGTGATAATTTTTACAAAATATGTGAAACAGTAAACACGACTAGATTTGATTTTCATGCTAATACTGGTCACAAAAAATGCATTGTTGTGTGCGTACAGAGTAAAAATACATAGGATAATTTATACACTTGAATAATTCGATATATATATATATATATATATATATATATTGGTGAATAGAGAGGTAGGTAGATTGATATGTTACACATTGTTTATAATTTAAAAATAAATAATCACATTTATTTTGAAATAAGAAAAAAATTATGTAAGTATTGCGTTGCAGTACTAAGAGTTTTCATAAATGTTTTGATGAAAAAAACATTTTTGGAAAATGACGGAAATCGTCTTATAGCTGATGTATATTATATTGTATACGTACATAAGTGATAGAATAGTTTGGAAGAGCGATGACAATTGACTATAATTATATAAAATATAGATTATCGCTTAGTTATGAAAATAAGTTTTCCGTGCCTTTTTATGTTTCCTATAAAAAATAAATAAATTAAGTTTTCACGACTCTAATGGTTATAATAGGTATCTAATTTTCATTTATATTTATTAGTTAATTAAGACATACTTTAAATACTGTTTAGCTTAAAAATGTACAGGTAATACTACAGCGAATTACAATATAATATTTCATAACACTATGTGAACCAAAGACAACAACAATATTAACGAAAAACTAATGAATAAACTTATGAAAACATTAGAAAAAAATCCACGTACGATTCGAGAAAAATTAACCAATACATTTTCCGAGGTTCTGTTATTGCTGAATGGATATCTTGTCGTTTGTGTATCATCAGGTCTGTGTACAACACAACAGTATAATATTTATTATATAACAATATCACTCGGCGGAATAGTAGAATCCTTTAAAACCTCTCTCATCCTTTCACGCTGCAAAACTCATTCTGTTCGGCCTCGGGTCACAAGTATGTGTGCGCACATTTATGTACATATCCGAACCGAAGAATTTCCATTAGTGGGACGTATACGTATATTATAATACGACCGTCGTCGGCAAGGTCGTGGCATAACATCATGCTACCTTAGGGGCGTCTGTATTTTGACGAATGTCGCGGTCCGTAAGTCTTGAAAAGACGTAAATTAATATAATAATCATAACTAATATTTATTTTTTTACATAATTAATTTACCTACACTATATAGTAGAGTACACGATGGTCACACGCGGCACGCGGTATAAGGCTCACAGAGTGCAACTATAATATTTTGTGCGTACAAAACGAAAATACGAAAAACAACAATATTACATAACACAGCGAGTTAATATTCTCATAGAATATAAAGTATTAAAATTACTTAGTTTATTTAAAAAAAAAAATAAAAAAATATGCGTTTTATATACCTCTTTGCGTTTTTGCGGACTAGCGCATCGCGCGGTTTGCGTAATATACAGTGTATAATGTACGTAACATAATATACCAATCATACTCTCATTGTTTTTCTTTCTCAATAATGCAGTTATTCAATATTCGATATGTATTTAATTTTTGAAACTTTCAATTAAACTTGGACAATTAGACCATATATTTTCAAATTATTGAGATATTTTGTACAGAATGTCCTCAGGTTATATAAACTTCCGTTTTTCTATATACTATAAATTATTTAGCTGTTATTTTTCATGAAAATGTTCACGCCGTATTAATATCGATCGAGTAATTTTTGAGTTATTTAATTCTGTTGTAGGTACTAAGGATAAAAGATCCATAACAATGGATTTGATATGGGGATATGATAATTTGATTAATTTAGTAATTTCTATTTATTTATTAATATTTTAAATGTATAAAAATAGTCTAAGTATAATAAACACTATACTCGATAATAAATTTATTTTATATACTTGCAAAACATTATTTATGGAATTTTATTCTTAGCATAAATAATTGTAAAACTACTCATTGGAACTTTGAATATCATAACATTTTTCAAAAAAAGTTTCTACTAAATTATGATTTACAATTAAACGTGAGTTCTCAATAATTGAAAAACAGAAGTTTATGTTATATAACATGGTCGTCCCTAGACATTTTTCTAGGGGGGAGGGCAAAATTAATTTAAAAAATAAATAAAGATTTTTTTAT